ACTTACTGATGAAGATCAAAGACCACAGCCTTCAGTATGGATTACACCTCAACATAAAGAAAACAAAAATCCTCACAACTGGACCAATAACCAACATCATGATAAATGGAGAAAAGACTGAAGTTGTCAAGAATTTCATTTTACTTGGATCCACGTTCAACATCCACGGAAGCAGTAGTCAAGAAACCAAACGACCTATTGCATTGGCAAATCTGCCGCAAAAGACCTCTTTAAAGTGTTAAAAAGCAAAGATGTCACTTTGAAGACTAAGGTGCTCCTGACCCAAGCCATGGTATTTTCAATCACCTCATATGCCTGTGAAGGCTGGACAATGAGTAAGGAAGACTGGAGAAGAATTGATGCCTTTTAATTATGGTATTGGCAAAGAATATTGAATATACCGTGGACTGCTAGAAGAAGGACCAAATCTGTCTTGGAAGAAGTACAGCCAGAATGTTCCTTAGAAGCGAGGATGGTGAGACTTTGTCTCATGTTCTTTGGACATGTTATCAGGAGGGACCAGTGCCTGGAGAAGGACATCAAGTAGAGAGTCAGTGAAAAAAAAAAAGGAAGACCCTCAATGAGATGGATTGACACAGTGGCTGCAACAAGGGGCTCAAACATAGCAACGATTCTGAGGATGGTTCAGGACTGGGCAGTGTTTCGTTCTGTTGTACAAAGGGTTACTATGAGTTGGAACCAACTTAACGGCACCTAACAAAAAGCAATCCTTGGTATTCCTTGGTTTGTAGATGCCTCACTCCAGTCTCTACATCTGTCTCATATAATGTTCTCTCTGTGTGTCTCTCCCCTTAGAAGGACGCCAGTCATATAGGATTAGGGTCCACCCTAATGACCTCATCTTACCTTGAGTACATCTGCAAAGACCCTATTTCCAAATAAGGTCGCATTTGCAGGTACTGGGGTTGAGACTTCAACATATCTTTTTGGGGGACACAATTCATCCCACAACACACACTGACAAACAATAATCCATCTCTTTGCTTTTCAGGGTGGAGAACAGGCCGGGATTTGCAGCAGTGGAGCTGCGGCTGCGGAATTACTACTATGATGTGGTTAACTAAACCGCCCTTGTTCTCTGTGGCTGCCTTTGATCCCACAAACAAGCACAGAAAATGGATTGAAATGAGTTGCTTTTGAGTCCTTCCATCGCCCTCTGCCTGTGGTGGGGGCAAGCCTCACATGGAACATGCCTGGACAGTTGTAACCCAAAGCCTGGCCCAGGGCACACCCTCCAGAAAGCAAACACAGCCACAGAACATCTGTGTAAAGAAAGACGGGCAACAGGATCAAAGGGGCTGCCTGATCTGTTTGTTTTCTCCTACGTATAGTTTTCATGACAGGTTATTTTTAGGAGCCATTTCCAAATTCCTTTTATGTCTTTCCAGTCCTCGGAATCCTGTGATGCATTTGAATACTGAGCAGGCTCAGAGGCCGGCCTGACCAGGGATGTTCTCACCACGTGGTATGTAGCACCCGTGTACTCAGCATTCTCAAAATGTCCCAAGGATGCAGCTAGAATGTGACTCGTGAAATGCAAGAGCGAGAGGGAAGAGAAGAAGAAAACTTGGCCTCCATCAGAACGTGGTGTTGACGGCCCTCAGGACTGATGCCTGGCTGCTGAAAGCCTTCCTGAGTATAAAAATGCTTTCAGGTTCTTTTTTTGATTTTTTTAAATTGAGCTCAACCAGTGCATGAAGCTGGTTAAGCGGTGGGGGGGTAGTCTGGAACCTGCTTTTGCTCTGTATTATGAGACAGGAGACTTCTATCTATGTGAAAAATGAGAACAATTTGAATGAATTAGTCTTGGCATACTTTCCACCAGAAATCCTCTCTCCTGCAGACCATCGTGAACATACTTGTATGTAACTAGCAAATAAAGTTCTGTACTGGAGACTGTGTAAGGGAGGCGGGATGTCCGCCATCTTGGTCTGAGAGAGAAGGCCGGGTTTCTGGTTGTCTGTGAGTTTTTGGCAGATTGCTTCAGGCAGGTGTCTACTGAATGTGGTCCCAATGTCCTCTCCTTTCAGAGACCACAGCTAGAACTCCCTCACCCCATCTTTTTCTGTACCCTTAATGGAGAACACATGGTGGCTCAAGACATCTAAAGTTGAGTTTCTAAAAGTGTTCATTCTTAATCAAGACATAGACCCTGACTCTCACCACAAATAGGCCTTATTGAGTATGTTAAGTATGATTTTGGGTTGAAGACATAGACTCGAGAATTCCTTTCGCTCCCATAGTCTTAGCTAATCCTCATCTTAGTGTTTGATCTTATTCACATCATCAGCCATCGATATTAGTGTTGCTTGTGGCCCTTGAAAATTAAGAGATACTTCACCCTCATAGATACACATGAAGTTGGAACCATCCCATCTTCAGCTACACCTAAGACACTTTCCAGTGTACGCCCAGACTATAGGCAGTAGAGTAAGCCCTCTTCCTAACAAAGGGGATCAAAGTGTGGAGAAAGGCATCAACCGGTACCTTGACTTAGCCGAAGAAGATGTAAGTCACCTGGACGACTTGCCCTAAGAAATTTTTAAAAGCCACCCAAGTTTTTTGAAATTATGCTACCTGGTGGTTTAATCATTTTGTTAAAGAGAGGACCCCTGTGTGTTGAAAGTGCTGAGCAGATGCCATACACATTTATAGTCCCTGAAATAAAAATATAAATGACAAAAATCTATGTCGATCAGGCCATATTCATATAGAGAATCGTAAAAGGATGGATTGGATAGTCTGGGTTTGGGTGAAGTGGTGATCCTCTCTGAGAAAGAGGCTATGATGCTGAATTCTTGGGATCTTCCTTCTTTTACCCCTATAGTGTATCTGTAATAAAGGTCACACTCTTATTGGAACACGTAGTAGGTAGATAGTAAATGTATAGAGTTTATACCTTCTTTGGGTGTGATTTTCCAAACTATCCTGGCAGGAGTCTGGGGATGGAAAACATCTAGAATGTGAGTGGACAAGAGTGAGTGAGGGGCCTCTCTCCCCTCCAGAAGGCCAAGCAGAAGGCAAGACCCCTCTCTGTCTCAGACTCTTGGGCCTCTTCCCTGGGAAGAGCAGCTCCTGTGTGTAGGCTGCCTTCCATGGCCAGTGTGTGGAAGTCTTGGCCAAATGAAAATGGTGTCCTGTGGTTAGAAATAGTTCTCCTTCCCCTTGGATAACAGAGGAGAGCAAACAGAGAAAGGCAAGTTAATTGAAGAAGAATTTATAATGTGAAAAGGTTGAGGAAAGGTTTCCAGGGCTTCTCCCAGGCCATCTAGCTTGGGCTGCCCGCACCATCCTTCTGGATTGTTCTAACTGGGTCTCAGCATGGGATCTGGGCTCACTCTTTGTGCGTTTCACCTTCTGGTCCTTCTTTAGCAGAGAATAAAGGAGGAGCACAGACAGAGGACCTAACCAACATCACATTGATGGTGGGTACCACATACCTTATTCCCCAGTGGGACCAAAAGGTTCTACTGGAAACAATCCATTCAGTGGTTAAAGTCATTACAGGCATGTTTTCAATTTGGGCGTGTCCTTCACCCACACTTTTTGTCACCTAGCCATGCTTTTGTTTGTTGAGTGGTAACTTCATATTTACGTCAGACCTAATGACTGCAGCTATGCCTGGATTGTCACCTACAAAGGTGACTGCTCAGTTTTTAGCCCTCTCAGCCTCCCAGAGAGTCCACTTGGCTTCATAACAGTGTATTGTATTTCCTGTGCTTTTCAGAAGAGCTCCATTTTGTCACTGGATTTTTTAAAGCTATGATTTTTAATAAAATGTTAAAATTAGCTTTGTGATGATTTTTATGAAAGTTATTGGGATACTTGGATCCACAGTCAGTGCCCATGGAAGCAGCAGTCAAGAAATCAAATGCTGTATTGCATTGGGCAAATCTGCCACAAAAGACCTCTTTGAAAAGCAAAGATGTCACTTTGAGGACTAAGGGACACCTGACCCAAGCCATGATAGTTTCAGTTGCCTCATATACATGCAAAAGCTGGACAATGAATAAGGAAGACTGAAGAAGAATTGATGCCTTTGAATTATGGTGTTCAGGAAGAATATTTAATATACCATGGACTGCCAGAAGAACGAACAAGTCTGTCTTGGAGGAAGGACAGCCAGAGTGCTCCTTGGAAGTGAGGATGGCGTACTTTGGACGTGGTATCAGGAGGGACCAGTCCCTGGAGAAGGACATCATACTAGTAAGACAGAGGGTCAGTGAAACAGAGGAAGACCCTTGACGAGATGGATTGACACAGTGGCTGCCACAATGGACTCAAACATAGCAATGATTGTAAGGATGGCACAGAACCAAGCAGTGGGTTGCTACGGGTTGGAACCAACTTGATGGCACCTAACAGCAACAAGGAGGTTACACTGTCAAATGAGTGGTGTTGACCAGCACGCACAACATAGTTTTTAACAGATGGTATTGATGGTGTGGGGACGAGAATGTTGTGTCCCCAGCCCTGTCCTAGAAGGATGGGTGTATGCAGGCCCCTCTCCAAGCTTCCCTGCAGCCCTCAAGGAGAACGCCTGTAAACGAGGCACTAGCCTTCTGGGAATGCCCTTCTCTGTTCACAAGCAAGGCACTCGGAGACTTGTGGGTGGTCAGGAGATCTGCACAGCAGACTGCCACACAGCCCCAGCCTACCCACAGAAGATGGGCTGAGGAAACCCCAAAACGGGGCCAAGCAGGGAGTGGGTTGTGAGTTTTCCCTATTCCCTGTGAAGACAGTGTAAGGGGCGTTTGAGTAGCCCAGAAGAAATTCCAGAGTCCCAAGGTCTTCCTGTTCTGAAGGAGATTCTTCACACACATACATACACGTACACACATACACAACACTTACACACCACATACACACACCACATGCATACACCACATATACACACCACATGCATACACTACACACACATACACACCACATGTATATACTACATACACACACCACATGTATACACCACACACACCACATATACCACATGCATACACCACATACACACACCACATGTATACACCACACACACTACATATACCACATGTATACACCACATACACACACCACATGCATACACTACACACACCACATACACACCACATGCATACACCACATATACACACCACATACACACACCACATGTATATACTACATACACCACACACACCACATACACACACATGCATACACCTCAAACACCACATACACACACCACATGTATACACCACACACCACATATACCACATGTATACACCCCATACACACACCACATGTATACACCACATGCATACACTACATACATGCATACACATCATATACACGCCACACACACATACATAAACACATACCACATACACACGTACACCACACACCGACACACATGTATCACACAGTACATAAATACACAGCACACGCACACATACCTACCGTATACACATATTCCTCACACACACACCCAGCCTTACCCCCAGTAACCACCCAAGTCTCACCCTGGGGGCATCAATACCACTCCCAGCAGTGCCTGAGTAGCTATGTTCACTTCCTTCAGTCCTCTCTGGGCCTGGGGACCAGGGCTTAAGGGGACTCTTCCCATCGCACAGTGTCCTTCCTAGCCCCAGCTGAGGCCCCCTCTTCTTCTGTCAAGCTCGGCCAGAACTTGGAGGAACTGACGGGTTAGCCGGCATAGCCTCTGTTGGCGAGCTCGGAGTCCTGGGACAACCCCTGACCGGAACGACAGAGAACGTGCAGCAGGTGACGTCACAGTCCTTGAGGCGAAGAGAGGGTGAGCTGGGACTAAAACTCGGGTCTCCGGCCATTTCTGCTTGGGCAGGTCATATAGCAGCCTCCTGATGGTCTCACCTTTAGACAAGGGTCAGAGGGCCGGCTCAGTGGCGTGGGGCCTGTATTTTAGGAATGTTAATGGGTGCTATGGTTTTTGCCACTCAAGGCCTTTGGTTCCCTCGCTGGCCAGGAATTCTGCAGCCAGCAGATGGCACTATGTCATAGCTTGAGAAATACATGGTATCTTGTAGCTTCTGATCCTTAAACTGTTACTGGGTGCCATCAAATCGATTTTCCACTCATAGCAACCGCATGTGACAGAGTAGACACGCCCCATAAGGTTTTCTAGACTGTAATATTTATAAGAGCAGATCGCCAGGTCTTTCTCCCAGAGGTGCTGGGTGGGTTTGAACTGCCAACCTTTCGGGAGGGGCCGAGCACTTAACCATCACACCACCAAGGCTCCTTGATCCTTAAACTGCAGGGGTTAAACCCATTGTGATGATGTCTTACTGCCTTTCAAGTGGGAGAAGATGCACCTCACCCGAAATTTTACTTGAGGATGGTAGCTTGCTTGGCTGCTACTAATGTGAGTTGGAGCAGGGAGAGCTTTTAAAGCCTGTGCTTGTCTGTCCAAGATTAGGAGGGGCATTCCCGTAAGAAAAAAACAGCCACCGTCAAGTCGGTTCCAACTCACGGCGACCCCGTATGTGTCAGAGTAGAACTCTGCTCCGTGGGGTTTTCAGTGGCTGATTTTTCGGAAGTACATCACCAGGACTTTCTTCTGAGGTGCATCTGGGTGGACTCAAACCTCCAACCTTTCAGTCAGCAGCTGAGTGCAGTAACCATTTCCACCACTCAGAGACCCCAAGAGGGGACTTCAGAAATTGTCAATACACAGATTCTCAGTTCAGGGAGGAAGGAAGCATTTTGAAAGATCCAAAAATGAGATTTGGGTTTTTTGTTTTAATTATCTTTTAGTTCAGGTTAAACCATACCAGTAGTTCCTACCTTAGGCAGCAATTGTTTTCTTCTCCTGGAGACTGCCTTGTGGTCTCTGCGGGGGAGAGCCGTCGTGGCTCCGGGAACACAGACTTACTGAATCACCACCTTCTGCCTTGTGTCAGGCGCCCAGCCAAGGCAAAGCGCCCCTGGTCCTCCCTTCATGTCTGTTCATGCATCCTGACAAGCCAGTCCACCAGAAGAGAAGCCTGAGGGGCGTTCCACAAAGTGTCTTCCAAAGAATATTAGTCTAGGAGACTAATGCTGCGCTGTGTAACAGCAGTTTCCCTGATTAAATAACTCTGGAAAACAACGAGTGTATTCCCACCATATGATCACAATACCTATTAGCATATTACAAGCTCCAAGGAGTATTGCAACAAAAACCTTTTTATAATTTTCTCTTACTCAACATGTTCCCTACTTTTTGACCACAGAACTACCGTTGTGCTTAATGTGTATTAGGATGATGATACTGGTGTTCCTCGCACACACTTTGGGAAACCTTACACAACCCAGAGGTGCCTCAGAAGAAAGGGCTGGTGATCTACTTTTGAAAAATCCGCCATTGAAAACCCTATAGAGCAAAGTTCTACTCTGACACATATGGGTGATCATGAGTTGGGGTTCACTCAACAGCATCTGATTTTCCAAGCATTAGGGAGGCATCTCTAAAGTGGAATCCTGGGCAAGTGTGGAGAAAGTAATTCTGTACCCTGGAATCATGCGACTGAGCAGTCACCTGTTCTTATTAACTTATTAATAAGGCTGCTTATTAACAGCCCTGTCCAGTCATGTTCTCAAATGTTGATTGTTGACACATCATATATTCTCTCTCTCTGTCTCACACACACACACTTGGACACATATAATCACTCTTTCCTTCAAAGAAAAAAAAAAAGATGTCATTTCAATACAGCAGAGTAAGTTGATGTTTCATCAAGAGAGCCCTTCTGAAGCCCACTTCTTTATTATTTTGTGGTTTTTAGAACATTAACCTAGAGGAAGAAATAATATGCTCCCAGAGCTGCCACAGCCACCTCCAGTAAGCATCCACCAAGATTCCCGAAGAGTCAACCCTTCCTTACATTTGCCTGAGTTCACTCAACTGACCGGCTTGTCACTGCTGGTGACTGCCCACTTAGGGTGCCTTAGTTAGCCAGCAAAGGGACACTCACAGCCCACGTACTGAGGTCCTTTCCAGGAGCTATTTTTTTAGCTAAGTGTTATTTTACCAAAGCTATGAGTCACAAGACTTTACGCTTCACAATCTTTGAGGTCTTTCAATGACTCAGTTTTCCACCTCTGTCATTAAACTGTGGAACAATGAGTGAAAAACGAATACTGTTCATAAACAATTTTTCTCTTACTCATTCATAAAAATAAAGAGCTGGTGCTCTGGCACTGTTTGTTCTCCACAGGTATCAAGCGACATTGTAAGTTTGCATAAAGCACTGAGGGAGTGAGAAGCCTGTTGGAATACGGTGCTGTAAATACTCCTCTGCTCTGGATCGGCTGGTTTGTTTCCTTCCCTCCCTGACACAGGAGGAAAGAAGCCACTGCTGCCTCCAAGACAGAGAATTTAAGCTGAGGAGATTCGGTACATGAAAAGATAGTGCCCAGTTAAAGTCAATTCTGACTCACTGCGACCCTATAGGGCAGAGTAGAACTGCCCCATAGAGTTTCCAAGGAGCACCTGGTGGATTCAAACTGCCCACTTTTTGGTGAGCAGCCGAGCTCCTAACCACTACGCCACCAGGGTTTCTAGGTAAATTTTAACAAAGAACAGATAACATTTTAACAGCCTTGTTTTCTGCAATCAAAACATTTAGACCTTGTTCATTCTAGGATACTCATCTCTTACAATTAATAATATCCATTCCCTAAGGTTTTGCTAGGAAAATTGTTTTCACAGTGTCATCCCAGTACTTCATTCTTTGCAGTAAATAATGGTCTCCCACGCATTCGTTTTTTATTTAGGGTGAGGGGTTGCCCTAACCTACCCACGAGCTCATCCTGTTCAGAGTCCCTGCTTGTGTGTATTTTGAAAACACAGTGTTTAAGTTCAGCTGGGGAAGCTGTATTCTTTTGTAACGTTTCCCAGGA